TGGTGATGGAGATGATGCTGATTCTGCTGACGATGCTGCTGCTGTTATTGTTGCTGTTGCTGTTGCTGTTGTTGTCATCGTTGTCGTCTTCGTCGTCGCTGGTATTCGTGTTGGTGTCGGTGCTGTTGTTGAACTTTCATTTTTTGAAAAAGAATCTGTGTTGATCCCCCCTCGCTGGTGCATACGGTTTTTTCTAAATCAAAATGTGCCCTTTGACGCTCGCACCCTGTTTTTTGACGGGGAAAGTCTTGATGTTTAAACTGTGCCCCTGGCCCCCCGGATTATAACAACAACGGCTCCCGCTATAGAGTTTCTTCAAATTTACTCAGGACCCCCGCTCCCGCCTGAGAATTCCTGACAATTTACTCAGGATCGGTGCTCCCGCTTGTGACTTCCTCGCAATTTAGTCAGGACACCCGCTCCCATTTGAGACTTCCTCACAGTTTACTCAGGAACGGCACTCCCGCTTGAGACTTCCTTGCAATTGAGTCAAGACTTCTTCGCAATTTAATCAAGACCCCCGCTCCCTTCAGAGAACCCCTCACATTTTATGCAGGAATTGCGCTCTCGCCTGTGATTTCCATGCAATTTATTCAGAAATCGCGCTTTCGACGCTCAGGAAACACGCTGCGCCAAGGATGCCGTCACAATTTAGTTAGGAATCGCGCTCTCGCCATACTCAGGCATCCCGCTTGAATGTCCCACCCGCCCGACCCGCCCGTCAGGGGATCGCCCGCTCGTTGTGGGTTCCCGCCCGAGACTTCCTTCAGGAACGGCGCTTTCGCCTAGGACTTCCTCGAACGTTCACCTCTCCTGCCTCCTCCCTCCCTCTTTCTCTTTCTCTCTCTCTCTCTTTCTCTCTCCCCTCTCTCTCTCTCTCTCCCTACCTTTCTTATCTGTCTTTCTATTTCTCCGTCTCCCTCTGCCTCTAATCAACCGCCCCCCTCTTCGCTCCTTCTCTCCTGGCGTTTTCCCTCTTCTTTCGTCCCTCCCCCTCTCTCCCGCTCTCCCTCGTTCTCCCCCTCTTTTTGCAGGGTCCACACCAATTCCAATGGCGGGCACATGTACGCCTACGAAGGATTGTCCGCCCGTTCACCCGCAAAGAGAAAGAATCCCCCCAAAGGGGGTTTGATCGAAGACAAAAAGGGGCGGGTATCGAGGGTGTGGGGACCTCGTTTTGAATGACACGGGCAAGTAAGAGCGAACAGTCTTAGAATGATTGTTGTTGCTGTTGTCGTTGTCGTTGTCGTGGTCGTTGCTATTGTTGTCGGTGCTGCTGTTGTTGTTGTTGTTGTTGTTGTTGTTGTTGTTGTTGTTGTTGTTGTTGTTGATGTTGTTATTTGTTGTTGTCGTTGTTGTTGTCGTTGTGGTTGCGGTTGTTGAAATCTCATTGCTGAAGAACAAACATAATTGATCTTCCCGATGCTCATCGTATTTTCCCAACTGAAGTGCCTGTCCGGGCGCTCGCTCTCGGTTTTCTATCAGGGAAAGTCTCCCTCCTCAAACTGTGCCCCTGGCCCCCCGTTTACAACAACAGCGGCTTCCGCTTGATATTTTGTCGAAATTGACTGCGGTCTCCCGCTCCCGCTTGAGATTTCCTTGCAATTTACTCGAGGATTGCGCTCCCGCGTGAGACTTTTCCCGCAATTTACTCAGGCGCTGCGCTCTTGCCATTCAGGGGTCGCGCGTTTGCTGGGGATTTTTTCGAATTCAGTTAGGAATCGCTCTCTCGCTGGAAACTTCTTGGCTAATCACGCAGACCTCACGATCTATCCGCCCGCTCGGCCCGCCCGTCAGGGTCATGCCCTTCGTGCCCCATGCTCGCTCGCGCCCTTTGTGCCTCATTGCTGCCCTTCGTGGCCCCTCCCCGTGTGGCCCAGTCGCTGCCCTTCGGGGCCCTGATGCCGCCCTCAATGGCCCCTCGCTGCCCTTTGTGGCCCATATATACGCCCTTCGTGGCCCCCAGTGGCTGGTGCCCTCAGTGGCCCCATTGCTGTCCTTCGTGGCCCCGCTGCTGCCCTCAGTGGCCCCCTCGCTGCCCAATGTGGCCCACACACACATATATATATATATATATACACATGTATATGCCCTTCGTGGCCCCCAGTCGCTTGTGCCCTCAGTGGCCCCATTGCTGCCCTTCGTTGCCCCAGTGTAGCCCCGTGTGCCTCCCTCCCCCCCGATGCCTAATGTGGCCCCCTCGCTGCCCTTTGTGGCCCATATGTTCGCCCTTCGTGGCCCCCAGTCGCTCGTGCCCTCAGTGGCCCCAGCTGCACTTCGTGGCTCCAGCATAGCTCTCCCCCTCTCCCCAAGGTTGTTTTTTTTTCTCAACCATCCTGTGGTGATGGGTCCTCGTTTTGAAGAGACGGTCCACGCGTTCCTCTCCTCTTCTCCTCCTCTTGTCATCCTCTTCCCCCTCCTCCTCCTCCTCCTCCTCCTCCTCCCTCCTCCTTCTTCCATGCGTTTCACCCACCCAGCACAGCGTTTCGTGGCCCCATAATGGGGGCTCCACCGAAGCCCCCAATGGGACCGCCCGCATGCGTCCGCCACCACCCAGCACAGCCCTTGCTCCCTGCGTTCCGCCCACCCAGCACAGCGTTTCGTGGCCCCATAGAGGGGCTCCACCGAAGGTCCCAGTGACACCGCCCGCATGCGTCCGCCACCGCCCAGCTTCAACACGGCCTTTGCTTCCTGCGTTTCACCCACCCAGTACAGAAGGGGGCTCCATGGAAGGTCCCAGTGGCACCGCCCGCATGCGTCCGCCACCACCCAGCACAACCCTTGCTCCCTGCGTGTCGCCCACCCAGTGCAGCGCTTCGTGGTCCCATGGGGAGCTCCACCGAAGGTCCCAGTGGCACCGCCCGCATGCGTCCGCCACCACCCAACACAGCCCTTGCTCCCTGCGCTGCACCCACCCAGTACAGCGTTTCGTGGCCCCATCAGGGGGCTCCACCGAAGGTCCCAGTGACACCGCCCGCATGCGTCCGCCACCACCCAGCACAGCCCTTGGTCCGTGCGTTTCACTCACCCAGTGCAGCGTTTCGTGGCCCCATAGGGGGCTCCACCGAAGGTCCCAGTGACACCGCCCGCATGCGTCCGCCACCACCCAGCTTCAACACGGCCTTTGCTTCCTGCGTTTCACCCACCCAGTACAGAAGGGGGCCCCACCGAAGGTCCCAGTGGCACCGCCCGCATGCGTCCGCCACCACCCAGCACAGCCCTTGCTCCCTTCGTGCCACCCACCCAGTACTGCGTTTCGTGGCGCCATAAAGGGGGCCCCACCGAAGGTCCCAGTGGCACCGCCCGCATGCGTCCGCCACCGCCCAGCACAGCCCTTGCTCCCTGCGTTCCGCCCACCCAGCACAGCGTTTCGTGGCCCCATAGGGAACTCCACCGAAGGTCCCAATGGCACCGCCCGCATGCGTCCGCCACCACCCAGCACAGCCCTTGCTCCCTGCGTTTCACCCACCCAGTACAGCGTCTCGTGGCCCCATAGGGAGCTCCACCGAAGGTCCCAGTGGCACCGCCTGCATGCGTCCGCCACCACCCAACACGGCCTTTGCTTCCTGCGTTTCACCCACTCAGTGCAGCGTTTCGTGGCCCAATAGGGAGTGCCACTCAAGTAGATATTCACACTTGCGGAACTCACAATTGCATATTGTTGGGTCATTCACCAGTTTTTTTTTTTTTTTGGGGGGGGGGGTTATTTCTCTTTCTCTTTCTCTTTCTCTCTCACTCTCTGTCTCCTTTCTCATTCCTCTTGCTCTTCTAGGGGCTGCGCCCAATACGCGTGGCAGGCCAGGAAGATGTACCCTCCAGAAGGGGGCACGATCGAAACCGAAAAAGGCGGGTATCGGGGGTGTGGGATATACGTGGTGAGGTACACGCGAACAGATAATAGCGAACAGTCTTATAATGTTTGTTGTTGTTGCTGCTGTTGCTTTCCGCATGTTTCGTCGGGCTCTGGTTTTCATCCCTGCCGCGGCGCACACGCGGCCCTCACTCACCTCACCTCCTCCTCCTTGTCCTTCTCACACAGTGCAGCACAGCTCCACACAACACAGCGCACCGCAACGCAGCACAGCACAGCACAGCGCACCACAACTCAGCACAGCACAGCACACAGCACATTGACACACAGCACGTACACAGCACAGCGCAGCACAGCACTGCTCAGCACAGCTCAGCTCAGCCCAGCACAGCACAGCACTGCCCAGCACATCTCAGCTCAGCTCAGCTCAGCTCAGCACAGCACAGCACAGCTCAGCTCAGCTCAGCACGTCACAGGTCCAGGGCACAGCAGGCATGGCCTTCTCTCGGCCCCATAATGGGGGTGCGCAGGGGGTGGTCTCCCTATGCGCACGCCGGGCACCCCTGTGCTAAAGCAGAAGGGGGCGGCGGATCCTGATGGCCTTTGGCCCATTCCGCCACCGTGCCTGGGTTGTGGGTCTGAGGCCTCTTGTATATGTGTTGGGGTGTCGTGGAGGTCGTGGGGAGCCTCTCGGGGGCCTCTCTTGGAGGCAGTTTGGGCGCCTCTGTGGGGCCTCTTGGGGCCTCGTGGGGTATCTTTTGGGGCTTGTTGGAGGCCTCTTGGGCGCGTCTTGGGCGCCTCTTGCGGCCTCTTCTTGATTGCGAGGACGTACGCATTCGTGAGGAGTCGGCTTGCGGCACGTTTTGCGCCCTTTCCGCAGCCTCTTAGGCTCGGCAGCGGGTGGGCGGGATTCATTATACAGCCCTGTGAGCAGGGCGAGACAGGCGCTGACCAGGGGCGCCTGCCATTGCACAGAAAGCATCGGGTGCTTGCATCATCGTCTACGAGGAGACCTGAGTACCGGGGCTCTGACGAGCCCTCGATATCAGATCGGTGGCGAGAGCCAAGGTTCAGACCACGGCAAACAATGAAGAGTATAACGTCATCGTCAGGAGGCGCAGCTGGCCTCCGCCTAGACGTTCCCACCTGGGACAGAACCCGACAGACTACTGTCGTACAGGTTCGATGTCGGACTCTTCAGCCAGAGCTATAAGACGCAGGACAGGTACGTTGTTGGGCCCCACCTAGTGAGGGCGCTCGGGGCAAGGACACGGCGACTAGCACAGGCGTGCCTCGACATCGACAAGATCGACGAGGTAACGGGGAGTAGGAAACTGACAGGTTTGAGCCGTGTCTTCGATTTCTTCTTCTCCACGCTCGACCTGTCCAATGAGAACGAGATGGGAAATTCAGCAGAGAAGTTCTTCGACAAGCTCCAGCGAGAGTCAGGTGAGGGTTTCCCCGCGACTGTGATTTCGACAAGACGTACAAAACGCCCTGCACTAGATGCCCGATGGAAGCGCTGAAGGAGGTGGACGGGGCCTGCGAGAAGAAGGACGGGTGTGCGGGTTTCTCTGGCGAGGCGGACGAGAATGGATGCGACGGCCACGACGGCGATAATCGATCGGATCTCGCAGGTATCGTGGACCAGCTGGCGAGCTTGGCGGACGAGGGCGACGCGCTGATGCTGGGCGACGCTGAGCTCGAAGACGAACCTGAGGACGGCATTTATGCAGAGTTCAAGCAGACGGGCCGGAACTTCAAGGACGCGCGGGACCTCATCCGCAGACTGATGGTGGCAAGGGGCAACTACCCGGTCTTGGCGCCACGTCCTCCCGCAGCCCGTGGGCCTCGCCTTCGTCGCCTTCGTGAGCCATGGCGCGGGGCCCGGCCTGGAGGGGGCCAGGAAACGGCGCGTGACAGGCGCGGGATGAGGTGCCTGGCTTGCCGCAGCTACGGGCGCCAGGCCAAGGGCTGTCCCTGCAGGAACAAGACGTGCGGCAAGCCGCAACCCAACGAGACGATCTCTTTCGCGCTTCCCGAGCTGGGCGAGCTGGTCTTCCTCCTGGACGACGCGAACGGCATCCGGGCAATCCTGGGCGGCGGGGCGACCCGGAGCCTCATCGGGGTCACGATGTCGGAGTTCTTTGTCTACGACGTGAGGGAGAATTTTTGGCACCGAGTTCGACGTGGTTGAGACGAGGCGATTTTTCACATTCGGTGATCTCCAGCTCAAGAGCTCCGTGGGTTCCATGGTCGGCAACCTCTTTCTGGGGGGGCGGGCAGGAGAGGGTCGAGATCTCTGTCGTGGACAACGACGCGCCGCTGCTGATCGGGGTGGACTCTCTGGGGCCTGACCACGCTAGCGCCCTGATCGACTGCGGGGGCGGCTGCCTGATGCTGCCCAAGATCTCAAACCGCATCTACCAGTGTCGGAAGATGCCGAGTGGACACTTGGCAATCAACTTGACGACGCCGACCTGGTGGCGGAACATCCCGCGGAGCCTCCCGGGCTTCTGGGAGATCGCGAGCTGCCGCGCCCTGGAGGGCGCGCCCGGCCCGCCCGAGGCCGCGGGCTCGGCCGAGCCTACCGCGGACGAGACGGCGGCGTCCTCGAGCTAGGGGCAGCGCCCCCTGGTGGACCCGAGAAGAACCTTTTCTATGCGTCCATTGGGGGGCCCGCAGAATAATGATAACCAGGACAAGCCCACAGATAATCTAACTGCCCCTGAGAAACTGAGAGTCAGATGATCATAAAGGCCGTCTGATATCCTCGACCCCCTCTGGTACCTCGCGGAGACTTCCGAGCTCCCCGCGGGGTGGTCCGGAAACTTCTACGCCATCATGGGCTCCAGGGGGTGCGACATCGGCGTATTCGAAGCGGTCGCCGTCTGACAGGGATGGTTGGGGGGGGCCGCGTCGGGTTGGCCGCGCATGCTCCAAATTTGGAGGCAGAGTGCGGTTTGTATTGTTTTTGTGACAGGGGTGGCGGGGGGCGGGTCGTCATGGTGTCCTCGTGGTTTCCAGTTGGGCGCTGGTCGCCTGGGGGAGGGGGTGTATACTAGTGCGAAGCAGTGATCAAGCTGCCCACCCGAGCGCAAGCTGTCTAGCTCATTCCCGCCCGCCCCCCCAACGCATAAGTAGCACCCGATCCTCAGCATGCTCAGTGGTCGACTTTGGCTGGGCAGCTGCTGGGAACCAAAGCCGGCCCCAGGTGCGCGACGCTTGGGCGACGTGCGCCGCGCGGGCCAGGGGCGCCGCGCGCGCCAGGCACCCCTTGGGCCCGCGCGTGCCAGGCACGCCTGGTGCCCCAGATGCGCCACGTGTCTCCGAGTGCGCCAGGTTTGGCGCGCGCTCCAGCCGCGCCAAGTGCGCCGCGTTCGGATCACGAACAGAGTGCATCAGGTGCGCTTGCGCACGTGACAACACACATCGGGAAACATGTTGGCCTCTACCTTGGAGTCGAAAACAAATGTTCATCATTGTGTCCGGTGGGCCTGCGCACAGCGGGCCACGCGCCACCACCCCCGCCGTCCCTATCAATAACCACTTGACAGTGATCGCGGGTTGGCCGCGCATGATCCAGATTTAGCCGCGAGGTGCATGTCGTATTGTCTTTGTGACAGGGCTTGGTGGCCTTGCGCGCAGCAGGGAATCTGCTGACACCCCAGCCGTCCCTGTCAAAAACAGTACAATGTGCTCGCGGGCTTCACGAACAGGACTCAAGACTTTGCCTCAAAATATAATTTGTCCAATTTTGTGTCAGACGTGGTGGGGTTGTGGTGGGGGGGCGCATCGGCTTGGCCGCGCATGCTCACAATCTGGAGGGAGAGTGCGGTTTGCATAGTTTTTTTGTGACAGAGGTGGTGGGGGGCGGGTCGTCATGGTGTCCTCATGGTTCCCTATTGGACGCTGGTCGTTTTGGGGAGGGTGTGTGTATGAATACGGAACAGTGATCAAGCTACGCACCCGCATGAAAGCTGTGCAGTTCATTCCCACCCGCCTTCCCAACCCATACGTAACACCCGAGTCTCGGCATGTTCAGCGGTCGACTTTGGCTGGGCAGCTATTGGGAATTAAAGCCGACCCCAGGTGCGCGACGTTTGGGCGAGGTGCGCCACGCGTGCCAGGCGCGCCACACGCGCCAGGCACCCCTGGGGTTCGAGCGTGCCAGGCACATCTGGTGCGCCTGATGCGCCACGTGCTTCCACGTGCGCCAGGTGTGCCGTACACTCCAGCCGCGCCAGATGCACCACGTTCGGGGCATGTGCAGAGTGTATCAGGTGCGCCCGCGCACGTGACAGCACACATCGGGAAACATGCCGGTCCCCACCATCCGAGTCGAAAACCAATGCACATCTAGGTGTCTGGTGGGCCTGCGCACCGCAGGCCATAGGCCACTACTCCCGACGTCCCTGTCAAAAACCACTCGACAGTGATCGCGGGGTGGGCGAGCAAAATCCAGATTTAGTCGCGAGGTGTATTCTGCATTGTTCTTTGACAGGGATGGTGGCCCTGCGCGCAGCAGGGAATATGCTGACACCCCAGCCGTCCCTGACAAACGCAATACAACGTGATCGCGGTCCTCGCGAACATCATTCAAGAGATTGCACCAAAATGCTTTGTATTGTTTTTGTTGACAGGGATGGTGGGGGGGCGCATCTGGTTGGCCGCGCAAGCTCCTCATGTGGAGGCAGAGTGCGTTTTGTATTGTTCAGCATTGTTCTGGTTGGTTGCCGGCCGCTTGGGGGAGGGGATGTACACTAATAGGGAACAGTGATGAGCCCCTCCCCCGAGCAGGGGAAGGAGGGGTTTTGGCAGAGGGAAGACAAACAACTCGTGACACCACCTGCGCCCAGAGGGCTGGTGGGACTTCGTTCAAGACTTCGGCGTTCATCGATTCTCGACCCATCCCTCCTCCTCCCTCCCACCCTCCTCCCTCCCTCCTCCTCCCTCCTCCCTCCCTCCTCCCTCCTGCTGCTCCCTCCTCGCTCCCTCCCTCCTCGATTCTCCCTCCCCCCTCGATGCTCCCTCACTCCTCGATCCTCGATCCATCCTTCCCCCTCCCTCCCTTCAGTCCTCCCACCCTCATCCTCCCTCCCTTCTCCTCCCGCCTCCCTCCCTCCACTTCCTCCTCCCTCCTCTTTCCCTCCCTCCTCCTCGATCCTCCCTCCTTCCTCGATCCTCCCTCCCTCCTTGATCCTCCATCCATCCCTCCTCCTCCCTGTCCCATCCCTCCTCTCTCTCCCTGACTCCCGTCGGTCCTCGGGGCCATGCCTCGAGCCTCGGGCGGTCGACCACGGGACGATTCGGATCGGGAGGGGGCTGCTCAGGACGGCTCGGCCTGCGTGTCATCGCAGCGGCACGGACTGCGCTGGAACCTAATGCGCACGTGAAGCACCTGCGCGTGGTTCTATCATGCAGATATACTTAGGGGGATAGAGAGAGAGAGAGTGTGTGTGCGCATGTTTCTGTGACATATATTTATATATATACGTATACATATTTTTCATACATATATAGAGGAGAGAGAGAGAGAGAGAGAGAGAGAGAGAGAGAGAGAGAGAGAGAGAGAGAAAAAAGGAGAGAGAGAGAGAGAGAGACATGCAGCAAGGAAATAATGGGATTGAACATGGGCCAGGCTATGATGGTCATGTGCAGCACTATTCGGAGCTCATGGGGGCCTTGGAAGAATCATAAAGCCGAAGATTTGCTAGCTGGCCAGAGAGTAGACAAGCCACATGAGGATCCTGGCGACGAAGATAATGCTTGCCCGAAGGGGGAGCTAATACAAGAGGATCGGTATCGTGGCGAAGGTAACAGTACTGCGACCTGGATTCGATGCCCTTTGTCTGGCCAGAACTTGAGCGCACGCTGCGCGCGCGTGACTCTGGTGGATGTCTGCCGCCGTAGCACACGCAAGGTGGCTCACGGCGCAGGCGGCCACGCCGAGCTGTCGCCTAGCTGCCGCCGCGCGCGCACTCGCGCGCCCCAGACATGCGGTGTCCTGATTCTCTCAGCACGAGCTCCTCGGAAGTTCCGACCGATTCAGCGGGACCAGCTCTCCATCCCGAGTCGCTTTTTTGACGGTTCCGGGGCTCGGCAAGGGCCTTCAGAGGTCGAATATCGAACAAGAAAAGTTGGCATAGACCAGACGGGGCTAGCACGAGGATAAATCCATTCCAGGGCGTTCTGGAACGCTCTTAGAGCGTTCCGGAACTCTCTGAGAAGGCCGCGGCGCTCGATATGTACACATCCTCCAGAACCGCCAGACCTCAGTGATCCTCGATTTATTCTCACCCGATGTTTTCCTCGTCCTGGACTCGTCTTAGTAAAGCACAAGCTCTTGGAGCTCCGCGCCGATCTCTTGGAGCTGCGCTGGACCCGCCCCTGGCGCGCGCAGCGCGCCTGGGGCGGCGCGGGCCCCCGCGCAGATCCGAGGCATCCGTGCAGGAGCTTCAGTTAGGGGGCCACAGGCGAACCCTACCCCTACCCCCCACGATTTCTGAGGGGGTGGGTGGGGTTCACTTCGGAGCTCCCGAATGAAGTGAACCCCACCCACCCCCTCAGAAATCGTGGGGGGTAGGGGTAGGGTTCGCATGTAGCCCCCTAGCAGTTTTTCCGTGTCACAGAATTTAGGCGGCCTCCTAAATTCGGAGGAGGAGAAAGGTACCCCTACCGCTACCCCTTCCCCGTTTGGCATCTCTGCGGGAGGAGGACGATGACGATCACAGAGGAGGAGGGAGGAGGTGGAGGAGGACGACGAGGGTGGAAGAACGACCAGAGGAACAGGGGAGGCGACGACGACAAAGACGGCCGACGACGATGACGACGGATGTCGGCGACGACGATCGGAGGAGGAGAAGGTATCCATACCGGTACCCTTGCCCCGTTTTCAAGCTTTTTTTGGCCTCCTGGGCGGCCCTCGTCACCACCGCTGGATGCGCCTCAAAGTTCTGATCAGGACTCACCCTGGGAGAGGTCCAGGGAGTAGCGGTATCGGTACCTTGTGTGGTTCTCCCAGGTTCGAGTAGATGGGGTCGCAGGATCGCGCCGCATCGCCGATGCATCGGCGATGCTGCTCGATGCGGATCTTGCTTTATTCCACGCCAGCGTCGCCGATGCATCGCCGACGTCGCTGGTGCATCGGCGATGCAGTGCCGATGTTTCTGCGATGCTTCGCGGTCCTCCTACACCACCTAACTCGGACCCCATCTAGGAGGCCTCTCTGGGAGACGGCTGCAACCCCCCCGTCCTGACTCCGTCACGACGCGAGCACGTCTGGGGCGTGCAGTCCCAGATGGCGGCGCCGCAGAGTTTGGCGCCGCCGCCTCACGGCGGTGGCCCTTCGCCGCAGCTCCTCGGCCTCCCTGCGCGGCCGCAGACCCCAGGCGCGCCCAGCAGCGCGGCGCCGCGCTGGGGGCCCGGGCCAGACCACCATGCGGGCAATGGTTGTGTCCATACGCAGCGCCCTGCACTT